GTCAAATACAGAATCCTTCCTTCAAAAAAAGCTTGTGACCATTTTGTATGGCTTATCTGGAAACTTCTGTAAATCTTATGTTATAGTATAATATTTTTTGTTATTCTACTTTGCACAGTTTATTTTACTGTGTCTCATTTTCTCAATGTGACAATCGTATTTAAAAATTAAAACTGATGGAACATTCTGTTTTGGTCTTCACCATCTGACAAGTCGAATGACAAGAGGTGGATTTTGCCTGTTTCTTTTCACCGATGCAAACTTGTGTTAAGATATCACTGAATGGAGTATTTATAAGCTGGCCCTGAGCATGCATAAAGCATTGGTATGTGATATTTTTTTACCTCCTAGAAATTTGAAATATGTGTTGTCTGATTAGATGATCATTAGTGTCTTGCCATGATGTCTGAAAATTACTGTACAGGAGAGTCACAGCAAAGCAGCCGTTGTGACTGGCTTTGTGTAGGACTCACATGTTGTGCCACACTTGTTTGTCTGGCATTTCGGGTATGACCTCTTTCTTAGTTTTTGTCTGAAAACTCCGTGTGTGACCACTGGTGTATGATACTATTAGGAAACACCAATCTGATAACCATCTGGGGTTTGCGGAGACATTTATGAGTCTTCCTTGTAGACCTCACGAGCAGACCTCAAGCAACCAGCTTGCATAAGTGTCATCCGAAAGGTTTCTTCCTTTGTGAACATCAGATCCTCAGTTCATGATTCTTATTTTCATCCTTCAGTATTTGCTCTGAGAGCTATTGCTTGATATTCAGTAATTTTGTCTGCATTGATAGAGTTCCTCCCCTCAGAAAAACTGTTCTTTCCCACCCGTTTCCGTATCTAATTTCTGATCCTTGTTATTTTTAAGACATCAGTGTAGCCAGTCCTAAGTATGTAAATGTTAACCTGTGGGTTGGAACCTTTGTCTTGCAATTTAAGGTAATGGATATTGTAGCCCATCTGAGTTTCCCCTACTCTTTATTCTCATAACGTCTGGAGTTTCTTCAGAATGTGGTGTATTTTGTTGTGCTTCTATGTAAGATGAAGACTTATCTATTAAAATTACATTTTCGACATAAAAAAAAATAAAAGAAAAAGAAATATTTGTGGCACATGTGGGGGAAAAAAGCTGAAAAGATAACAAATCGGTATTTATATAGTACCTCCTTCTTTCTCAATGCCAACTTTATACTTCCAAGATAAAGTCCAAATTCTAAGCCTCCTATTACTGAAGGCCTTCCTCCCTGGGTCTAATCACTCTTTCTCACATTCTCTCTCATTACCGCCCCACTGGACCTTCTGCTCCAGCCACACAGGGGTAGCTAGCTGCCACACAGTTTGTGGGATAATCTTTTGAGTTTCCAAGAAAGAGCAAGAATAAGGAGATATTTTCCCCAAAGACAATACTCTGACATTCTGGTGGTTTCATCATTTCTCAAAATTCTCTGGAAATACTCCTTTCATCTACTCTCCCCACTACAGTCCAACAAAAGCTTGAATATTTAAACTTTATTAAACATAACAATCTGGGGATGCAAACCACATACATTTGAGGACTCCTCCCCGCCCCCCAAAAAAAGGTTATGCTGCTCAGCTCTGCAATAATTTAAAGCTACAGATCATATAGGTGCATCCACATAAAGTGGCAAATTTAAAGCGCTAATGTGTGCTTTCTAGGTATTTACCATCATCCCCCTTCCTCTTCTCTACTCCAGAGCCTCTTTTCCATTAACCAGCCTCTTGTTTGCTACAGCTTTTCCTCACACCTTACCTGTACCCTCCAGTCTCAGATTGA